GCTCTCGGGCCTCATTCATCTGGGTGCGGGGGCGGTGGACGGCCAGGGGGGGCGGGCGGAGGTGGGGTGCATTCCTTGCCCGGGTGGTGTTACTAGGGGATACACGTCTGCTCGCCCGGCTTCCTGCTCACTGGCGCCCCCTTCCCCCTTTGAGGCAGACTCATTTATTGGTGCAGGTGTCCCCTGTCCTTGCGCCAAGCCGTGCGGGTGCGAGGAAATTCCGCTATTCGCCCCGCCCCCTCGCTCCCCGGGCGGGAGCGTCATACACGCGCTGACCCACGGGCCGGCTCGAGGTGCGCACCTCTGTTCTCGGCTGTCCTGGGCGAAGAGGAGCCGGCTTTTGAGAGGGCCGGGAGTGCGCGGCCGCGCGTGAAGATGCCCCGAGTCCCGGGCACTCGCCGTGCATTCATGTCCTTTTCCACGGGCCTTCGGTGGAGAATGCTGCTGGCCAGTACGGTCGGCCGGGCGTGCGGGGGGGGGGGACAATGTGACCCAACGGGCACCGACTCGCGCCTAACGCAGGCGGCACCCAGTTGTCGACCGATGGCGGGGCCGCACACATCCACCCCCCCCCCGCCATCACACTCGCTTTGGCTCTCACTCCGTTTTTTTTGCCCGTGTGGCGTCCGGCTCGGGGATTGGTCGAGCCGCCGGCCGACATGTAGGTCTGGTCCAGGGCGCGCCCCGCGGGGGCGCCCTCCCCCCGCGGCGGCGGGGGGGGGGGGGGGCACCCGAGGTGTCCGATGGCAGGCGCGCCCAGGTGCTTGCCCGGGCGCGTTCGCAGGGGCAAGTACTGCCAGTGTTGTTGTCTTCAGGGCAACCCCAGCTTGCCAGATGCGGGGGCGACGAGAGGGAGGAGCGGGGTGGGGCACCGCTGGGCGGCCCGCGGTCCGATCCTCTTTGTTCTCTGTCTCCCGCCCCCCCCCCCCCTCAGCCCCGATCCGCCTCTTGCCCCCGGTGCCCCTCGTGGAGGCGGTCATTCTCCTCTGAGCTAAGTCACCATTAACTAATACGGGGTCCATGATGATTTCCGCATTCAGGGGGAGGAGCATAAATTTATGCATTTGGCCGGGCGGCTCGACGGCCAAGTGTGTACCCCGGGCCACGCCGGCCGGGGGCAGGGCCCCGGACTGCCACTAGTGCGGATGCCACATTTCCGGGACACCTGGGATTGGTCGCCTCCGGTTCCGCCGATGTGTGGCTCGGGTCCCGGTGTGTGTGTGTGTGTGTGGGGCCCCCCTCTTGTCCCCCTGCCCGCCCCCGGCCCCTCGACGGCGCACAGGCATGAGCATGAGCATGCAGGAGTTCGTGCACGAATGTGCGGCCCCCAGCGGTGTGGCCACCGAGCATGGGAGGAAGAGAGCACTTCGCATCCCCGGCCGTGGCGCCAGGGCTCCCATCACCCCCGCCCCCCCCCGCCGGAGGATAGGGCTCATACACGTCCTCTCTTCCGTGAAGACTGGGCCGGGGGAGGAGGAGGTGCGTCCGGCCTGTTTCGGGCAACAACATACACACACACACACACACAGACAAACATACACAAACAGACCTGCGGGCATCCCGGGGCGTGAAATTACACTATAAGCTCATGGGAGCCCCTTTGCCCTGGCGCCCGGAGCACGGGGGCTCTGCCTGGCCTTCTCGGGGGAATGTGTGCTGGCGGGGCCCGCTGGGCCCGCGCATGCTTACGGCGGGCCGGGGGGCGGGGGGACAAGGGCCGGGATTGCGGGCGTATGAAACGCCCGGGACGTCGGGGCACCCTTCGGCGGTCCAGGACGCATCGAACTCTCCGCTACCACCCAGGCAGCGGATCCTCTCTCTCTCTCTCTCTCTGTCGCTCTTTTGTTCCCCGGTGAGGGGCTGTGTTTTCATTTTCCCGGCCCCCCCCCCCCCCCGTCCGGTGGAGACCTCCGGGGGTCCGGCTCCTGCTATGCCTCCCCCGCCCCGGAGTCTGCTGCCCGCGCTGGGTTCTCATTTTCCTTCGATGAAACGAAGGGGGCCCGCCTGAAGGCCAAGCGAGTGGTGTGCGCCCGCGACAGCGCCACAACGATGACGCTCGGGGAGAGATCTGGCCGGGCCCCGGGCGCACTGTGCGGCTTGCTCGGCTTCGCCCTTGGTTTCGTGCCCCCTCGTCCGAAGGCAGCAACGCCGGGCGGGGAGGAGGACACAATAACGGCCTCCGCGGCCGGGGGCGGGAGACACACCTATAACCCCCCGTTTGGCGGCGAGCTGGCCTCAATTTCCCAGAGACCGCTGGCGGTGGCGTGCGTTGTTCGCGCGCGCGCGCGCGCGCGCGCGCGCGCATGCCGCTCCTGTGCGCGTCCATGTCCTCACGCCCGGTGCCGACCCGGGACCCGCCGGGCAAGCCGCCCGGCCCGGGCGAGCAGGGAACAGTCACCGAGAGAAAGAGAGAGAGAGAGAGACACACACACACACGCACAGAACGTGCGCGAGGCGGCGAGGGAGGCAGACAAAGACCCAACCCCCGGCGTGACGGTCCCCTGGCTCCCGGCCTAGGGCCCCCGTTCCCCCCTCCCCCCGCCCCCGCCCCCGCCCCCCGCTCAAGGGCCGACCCCGTCCCTTGATCTTCCTCGTCCGCTCGGGGCCCCGCCCCGCTGGGCCCCCTCGGCGCTCCCCTTGGCGAGGCCCTTTTTAGGGGACACCCCTCGGATATAGGCCCTCCCTGGACGGGGACATCCGCATCGCCAAAGCAGCTCTCCCTCCCTCTTCCCTCACCTTTTCTTTCTCCTCCCCCGCCCCCTCTTCCGCTTTCTGTCCTTCCCTCCCTTCCCGAGAACCAGTGCCGCGGCATCCCCTGGCGGGTGATCTGCTCCCCGCTCCCCCCCCCCCTCCCCCTCCTCCTCCTCTCCCCACCCCTCCGCCTGGGCGTTCTCTGCTCTGTGTGACGGCACGTCCAATCCTCTTTCCTATTGTGCTCCCTCCTCCCCTTCCCCCCCCCCCTCTCTCTCTCTGGCCCTGTCTCGCGTTCCTTCTAACCCCACGGATGCCCTCCTCTCCTCTCCTCGCCCACCGGCCCGCCCGTCACCCCCTTCTCCCCTCAACCTCGTAGATTAGGCTGCCGCGATGTTCCAACCGGATCGGATCATCCTGCAGGGAAATGCCCAGCTCAAGATTGACGGGCATTTCTCGACCTGGAACAAGCGCTATTTCATGCTCCGACCTGACATGCTTTCCTGGCATCGCAATGAGGTCCTTTCGCTCTCCATGCTGCTTCGCAAGTGCCCCCACACCTGCTGACTCCCTTTCACTCACCATGTGCCTCCCTTCTTCGCGCACGCCCTCTCTCTCTCTCTCTCTCCCTCTCCCGGTCCTCCTCCCGCCCTTGGCATGACCCACACAGAACTCCCCCCAGATTCTCAACTCGATCGACATCAAGTCCGTCATCAGCGTCGAGCGCTCGAGTGTCAAGGAGTTCTGCGTCGCCATCCAAACCCCCTCGACGGTCTTTTGGCTGACCTTCAAGTCGGAGTTCGAGTTGTACTCTTGGATGGACGAGCTCCAGCACCTGGTCAGCCGATCCACCAAGCCGACGGATGTGGTGCACACTCTGCATGTGGGCTTCGATCCCACCACCAAGGACTTCGTGGGGCTTCCCGATGAGTGGCGCAAGCTGCTGGCCAGCTCCGGCATCACCAAGGAGGAGCAGGAGAAGGACCCCCAGGCGGTGCTCGATGTCATCGGGTTTTACATCGGCCAGCAGGGCGGCGCGGGCGCCGGCCTTCCCAGTCCCGGCGGCCTGCCGCCCTTCTTCGCGGGTGCTTGCGTCGGTTCCGGCCCCGGCGCCGGCGTGACCACCGCCCCGAACTCGGCGCCGGTTAGCCCCGCGCCGCCGGTTTCCCCGTCGCCGGCGCTCAATGACCAGCTGTCGCGGATGGCCCTCGGTGATGAGCCGCCGGCTGGCTCGTCGGCGGTCGTGTCCCCTCCGACCGTGCTTCCGCCGCCGCCGCCACTTGTGCCGGCTGGTACGCCAGGCGCCACGGCCCCTGGCGGCCCTGCGCAGCCGCGTATGTCCATCGCCGGGCCCCCGCCATCGAGGCCGCCCCCCCGGCCGCCGGTCGGTCTGCCCCCCCGGCACCCGCCCACTGGGCCGAGCACTCCGGCGGCCCCCCCGGCCGCCGCCGCCGCCGCCGCCGCCGCCGCTGCTGCTCCTCCCCCCCAGTCGCCGCTTCCCCCGCGGCCGTCTTTGGCCCCGCCGCCGCCGCTGGTGCCGGCTTCCCTGGCCCAGACCGCCCACCATGGCGACGCATCGTCCCTCCCGCCGCCGCCTCTTCCCCCGGCCGCGGCCAACCTCCCGCCGAGCAAGCCGGCGCCCGCGCCACCGGCCGGCGTCTCCCCGGCCGCGGCCCCTGGCCAGGGCCGGCCCCCAAGCCAGGACCTGCGCAAGCTCTTCCGCGAGAGTGCCGACATCATGGCGAAGCTCTATGCTGTCGTGTCGAAGGACGACCCCGGTCGTATCTTCGAGGGGTTCCGCAAGATTGGCCAGGGTGCCTCGGGTACCGTCTACTCGGCCATCAAGAAGGACACCCAGCAGAAGGTGGCCATCAAGCGCATGGATCTCAATGTCCAGCCCAAGAAGGAGCTCATCATCAACGAAATTCTCATCATGTACGAGAGCCGCCACCCGAACATCGTCAACTACATCGACAGCTACCTGGTCAAGAACGAGCTTTGGGTACGCTCACCCATGCGCACATGTAGTCATGCGGCTCCACCTCTCCTGTGTCGATCTTTCCTGTTGACTAACCCCTGCCCTTGCTATTTTTTTTTCTCTCTCTCTCTCTCTCGGGTCCCCTTCCGAACGCTCCGCCGTCCTCCTCCCCGGCTCCAGGTCGCCATGGAGTATATGGAGGGTGGTTCGCTGACCGATGTCATCGAGGCCAATCCCAACCTGACCGAGCCTCAGATCGCGGCCATCTGCCTGGAGACGATCAAGGGTCTGGTGCACCTTCACAAGAGCAATGTCATCCACCGGGACATCAAGTCCGACAACCTGCTGCTGGACTTGACGGGCAATGTCAAGCTCACGGACTTCGGCTTCTGTGCCAAGATCGATGCCGGTGGCAAGCGCTCCACCATGGTCGGAACTCCCTACTGGATGGCTCCGGAGGTGGTCAAGCAGAAGGAGTACGGGCCGAAGGTGGATGTCTGGTCGTTGGGGATCATGGTCATCGAGATGATCGACGGCGCCCCGCCCTACCTGGACCAGGAGCCCCTGCGCGCGCTTTATCTGATCGCCACCAATGGCACCCCGAAGCTCCAGCGCCCGACCGACACCCTGACCCCGGAGCTACTCGACTTCCTGCGCATCTGCCTCGAGGTGGACGTCGACAAGCGCGCCTCCATGAGCGACCTTGAGAATGTGCGTTTCGCCCGGCTTGCCAATCTCCATCCCCCCCCCCTTTTTCATATTCCTGGGCTGTTCCCTCTTTTTTTTTTCCCCTCCTCTCTCTCTCTCTCCCCTTCCTTCTTGCCTGCTTGCTTGCTTGCTCTTCTTTGTTCCTGGGTGGCTCTGCTCCGGACAGGAAGCCATGCATTCACTGACTCCGGCCCCCCCCCCCCCCCCCCCTCCCCCTCCCTCCAAATATCGCCCATTCCCACCGCGCCCCTGCCTGTGCATTTGCCCTCTCCACACAGCACCCTTGGGTTCGCATGGCCACTCCTCGCGCAGCCCTGACGGACCTCATCCGCAAGACCCTCGAGTTCCGCGCCACCCTGCCTCCCAATCACTGATGCTTCGCTCCTGTGTAGCCCCATGTGCATGCAGGCGTACATCGCTCGTGCGCGCGCTGTGCGCGCGTGTGTGTATGTGTGTGTGCCTTCGTGTACGCGTGTGCCCGTGCGGCCGCGCCGGTGAGCTCGGACCGCTCCGAAACAGTTCCTCTTGGCGGCGGTTTTTCCTTGTCCCCCTCTCCCCCCTCCAATCGATTCATCCCTTTTCCATCATTTGTCGCGCGCGCGCGCTGGCCGAACGCGCAGCGCTTCTTTCCGCGCCCGGTGCGCGGTCGCTTGCGTGTCCTCTCTGTGGCCGGCTTTCGCCTGCGAGAGAGGTAGGAATGGAAGTGGACAGAAGCGTACCCCGGAGACTGGGCGGCATTTTTTTCTTCCTCTTTGCCGCATGTATAACTGTCCACTTCTCCCTCCTCCCTCCCTCATATGTCTCCTCATCATGTGCTCCATGTGCACGCTCGTGTTTTCTGTTCATCAAAATGGAACTCCCCCTTTTCCCCCACCCCTCTCTTTGCTTCTATTCGGCCCTCATCTTGCCTGCACACGGGCACACTCACACGCGCAGGTGTCTCACCCACTCAAAAGGTACATGTGCACGATGAGGAGGATGTGGACGCCCGAAGGAGAGGAGATCGTAGTGTGTATATTGTACCCGTGTAGGTTTGTGAAGGAGGGAGCAGGAGGGAGGGAGGGAGAGAGAAAAAGACAGGGGGCGAAGGGAGGGGGGGGGGGAGGGGGAGGGGAGCAAGAGCCCGAGCGAGGGTGTGCTGGTGGCGAAGGGAGAGGGAAAGAGCGGGTATGAACACACACACTTACAAGCACGCACACAAGCACGCACGTACGAACATACATAGGTGTACATGCATGCATGTATACGCGCGTGCCAGGTGTGAGCGCTACCGAGAAGGCAGGAAGGCGACTGGGGGGCGGGGAGGGGGGGGGGGGGGAATCGCGCAAATGAGGGGACATCGCGGCTAGCCAGCTCTCGCTCGCGGGTTCAGACACATTGGCACGATCCTAGTAACGACCCGGGGCGGCGTAGGAGTGGCCTGGCCCGGTTGCCGGAGGCGCCATGTGCGCATACGTGCGACTCGGAGCAGCGCCATACGAGTACGCACCGTGCCCAGCTGCACCGGATGTCGAGTGGGTCGGGTAGTATGATCCGCCCATCGGGGCAACAGGCTGGGGCGGCACCGGTGTCCGGTAGTGCGATGGAGCCGCATGGGAAGCCATGTGGCTGGCCGTGGCATGAGGGGCATGTTGATGCGGCTGCGGCTGCGGCTGCGGCTGCGGCTGCGCATGTCCCTGTAGCGAGGCCTGATGTTGAGGAGGGTGCCCGGCAACCGGGGCGATTGGCGGCCGACCTCCGAGAGGGACAAGCATCATGCGGAGCTTGGCAATCTCCTGACGGAGTTCCTCCTCCGGATCAAGCCCGCCGGGCTGGGAGGGCCGACCGGATGAAGCCATGGGGCCAGCGGCGGCAGGACGCGCGGTGGCCGGTGTGGCGGCAGCAGCAGTGGCAGCGGAGGTGGTTGTGTTGGTGGCGCCGGTGACATTCGGCGCTTCGGGCGCGGAGTGCGACCGGTTAACACCCGACATGGTGGGCATCGTGGCCGCGGGAGCAGCACCAGCCGAGCTGGTAGCCGAATCGGATTGCGAGCGTCCCGGGGCCGGGAGCATCAGCCGGGTACCGGCGTCACGCGCCCCGCCCCCAGGCGACGAAAAGCCCCGATCGGCAATGCCGGGCACGGCGCTCTGTCGAAGATCGGCCAACAACTGAACAAGTCGACTATTCTCCGCCTCGAGGCCTTTTTGAGGGGGGAGGGGGGGGGGGGCGGGGGAGGCGACACACGCGGTCGCCGCGCATTGGACAGGGTGCCGAGGGCCACGAGAGGGAAGGGGGGCCGTTAAATCAAAGGTGAGTATCACAGGGAAGCCCAGAAAGGCAGCAGAGGGGGGGGGGGGGGCGCGCGCCCAACGCACCCTGGATTCGGATCTCATAGGACTGACGGAGATCCTCGATGCGAGTCCCCATGACGGAAGACCGCTGAACAAGGGCCTGGCGCTCCGAGGCATTCGTCGCCTCGAGAGAGGAGAGCTCGCGTGCGCGCGCGGCGATCGCCCGGTCCCGAGCGTCCACCGCCCGGCGAGTACGCTCCAGGCGGTCGGAGAACTCACGGCTCGCACGCTCCATCCGGGTCAGCTCCTCGGCACGTTGGGCCGCCTGGCGCTCGCGGGCCTCGACTTCGGCCAGGCGCTCGGTCAGCTGGCGCTCGCGTTCGGCCATGCGCTGCATGGCAATCTGCGCCTCGTTGGAGGCAGCGCGGCCAGTCTGAGCGTCACGCTCGCCCGTTTTCAGGAGGTCCTCCAGGCGCTCGCGCTCGGCCCGGGCCTGCATCTGCTGCTGGGCCAGGTTGTGCTCGAATTCGCCGCGCAAGCTGCGAGAAACCCACACGGAGCAAGTTCGCAGGTCAGGATGACAGTCTGCCAGGGCCTGGCAAGGGCGGCATTTGGACCCAACAACGAGGCACGCACCGGTCGATTTGCGCCTGGGCATTCTCCGTAGCGCGCTTCTGGGCTTCCAACTCGGACTCAAGGCGTCGAGCCACATCGCCACCGCGAGCTTCGGCCTCGACAGCGCGGCGCTCGGCCAGGGCCGCCTGCTCGCGAGCCTGCTCCAGCAGCTGGCGCTGCTCCAGCAGGGCCTTATCATGCTCCAGGCGCATGGCCGCCGCCGCGGCCTGCTGGTCATCCTTCAGCTTGGTCAGGGTCCCGGCAATGGCCGAGCGCTGGGAGGCCGTTTGCGCGCGAATGCGCTCGCGCAGACCCTCAACCCCCTTCTCCTGCGCCGAGCAGGCCACAGTCAGGGCCAGCACACCGGAGTCCACCCCGGAGGCGGCGGTCTCCAGGGCGCTCACCAGACGAGTCTCCTCGATCGGGTCCGGGCCCTGCTCCAGCTCCTTGAGCTTGTGCAGGATGCCAAACTGACCGATCGAGGGAACACGCCCCAAGAGGCGGGCAAGGTCAGCCACAGGCGTCGAGAGGGGCCGGCAAATGCACGGGCCGGCAAGGACCACGAACGTACCATCTTATCGCGCCACACGGACACCTCATGCTCGGCACGGTGCGCGCGTTGGGACTCGCGCTCGGCATGCTTCAGTGCCATGGCGGCATTGTCCTCGGCCTCGGCCAAATGCCGGGTCAAAGTGGCGGTGCGCGCCTCGACCAGGGCGAAATCCTTGGCCTCGATGGCGGCCGCATCGCGCGCCGCGGCCAAATCCTGTGCATTCGACAGGGCCGCCACCAGGCGCTCCTGGGTGCGGAACAGGTCGTGCCGCAGGTGGTAGTAATACTCGCGCGTCATGCGGGCCTTGGTCAGGAGGTGCTCGAAGTCCGCGCGCGTGGGCTCGGTGCCGGTCAGCAGCAGGTCATCGAAGTACGAGTCATCCACATCATCGAAGATGACCGGCGGCTCCTGAAACACGGGGTTGGCCATGGCATGCGCAGGGGGCATGTCATCGGCCCCGAGCAGGTACTCCTGCTCATACGGATCGACCGGGAGAGGCGGCGCCGCGCCGGACCACGATGCAGAGGGCCCCACCGCGGCCGGAGCCGCCGGAGCGGTACGCGTGGTGGGGAGGGGCTGGCTGCCGAGCGTCGCCGCCGCCGCCGTCGTCGTCGCCGTCGTCGTCGAGGCCGGCTGTCGCGAGGGCGAAGGGCCGGCAGATGCGCTAGCCGGGGGGGGCGGCGCGCGCTCCGGCGAAGAACCGATGTCCGCATCGAGGACCCGAGGCAGGGAGGCCTGCATGGCCGGAGCCGACACCGGGGCCGGGGCCGGGGCCGGGACCGAGCCCGACACCGGGACCGAAGTCGAGCCCACCGGCGTAGAGGCCGAAGCCACAGGCCCCGCCGGAAGGGGATGGCTCTTGAAGGTGGTCCCCGCAGGTGGAGGCGTCGCCACGAAGGAGGTATTGACACCCTCGCCGGGGCGGATGGCCGGGACCTTCTTCGGCGGAGAGGAGGCCGACCCGGGGGGCTTGGCTGGGGCAGCGGACACGGCTGCACCGGGCACAGAGGCCGCAGGGGTGGTGGCAGCACCCTGCATGGTGGCGGCGGCGGAGGGCAGCGGCGGCAGGAGGGTGGCAGATGTCATGCCTGTCGCAGGAGGGGCGGATGCCTCGGGCTGACGGTGCAGGAGGAAGGGATGAGGCTGACTCGCCAGAGGGGAATCCAGCCCCGAGTCCGAGGCCGAGTGTGAAGGCGAGTTCGAGTCCGACGGGACCCCGGGCTCCGGGGAAGCCGGGCAAGAGTCGGAGGCCGAGTGGGCAGCCGACAGGGAGGAGGAGGAGGACAGGGAGTGCGTTGACAGGAGAGCCTCGGCGTGGAAGTCGTCCGACGGGACAGCCACACCGGTGGGAATCGGAGCAGCTCGGCTGGCTTGCGCGGAAATCCGAGAAAAAGGTGGCGACGTGGGGAGCCCAGCGGGCGGGCGGTGCGCCGTGTGGGATTCCGGCAGAGGCGTCGGCTGGGGGCGGAAGTGCGATGCGCCGGTGGAGAAGACCGGGGCCGCGGTGACCAGGAGCCGCTGGTCGGGCGATTCGTCGGTGTCGCTGTTGTCGAAGTCCGACAGGTCGTCCAAGACCGTGGCGTTGTCGTCCCAGCCGGTGGAGGCAATGGGGTTGGATGGGCCGGCGACGGGGGCCTTGGGTGGGAGAGTAGCCGACCAGGGGGGCAGGACCTCGTCCAGCAGGTCGGCAGGAGGGGCAGCAGGAGCAGTGGTCTGCAGGCGGTCGGCCAAGGACCGGTGGTCCGAGGTCACCTGGGCAATCTCGTATTCCGCCACCTCGCGCTGGAGGATGAGCTCCTCGTCGGTAGGCAGGTGCGCAGTGTTCGTGCGCAGGGGAAGGCGGCTGGGAGGGAATGCCGGTGTGGCAGTGGTGGTGGCGGTGCTGCTGCTGCTGCTGTTGCTGCTGCTGCTGGCGCTGGTGGCGCTGGTGGCGGTGTCCGAGGGGTTTCTCAGCCCTGGGAGGGGCGGGAGGCCATGGGAAAAGTGCCCAAGGGAAAAGGGAGAAGCGGTCTCAAGGAGGGACGGCTCGTGATTTGAGGAGGAGAGCGGGTGCGACGAAAATGACTTTGGGCAATGGGTCAGGAGAGGGCATGGCGTGTGGAGTGTCGGGGCAAGG